GTACGCCTATGAATGGGTTAGTATTTTGTATAGGTACAATAGAGATGAATTTATGTACAGAAAACAATAAAGAGGACTTTCTGTATAGGTTAATAGTATTACGTTTCGCTTTTTACTACATGACTTAATAAACAATCCCTAAAATTAATGTTGCACGGAATGACGACTTTTAAATATGCAAATGTTAATGTATAAACACGTGTATTATTATTAAATATTTATAATAAACACGGAATTTTAATTTTCCGGCACAACAATTTGCATTAAAAATTGTTCCGTGTATAAACAATAGTCATCACCTTAAAGAATTTCACATAAACAATTGAATGATAGCAAATACACTAATAATCGCTTACCTTGTATAAATCTTAAAATGTTATTAGCATTTAGCATGGGCGTACCGGGCGAGGGGGGCGGCAAGCCCCCCCCCCCCCAGTTTGTTGGGCAAACAAAGCCAGTCGGGCAATATTCGCTTCACAGTCGGGCAATATTGGTTTATTAAAAAAATAAAAGGGACAAATTCTGTCAATTTTGTGGGAAATTCTGTCAATTTTGTGGGAAATATGCTATCTAATAGGAAATTTTCGTAAGCACTCCTCCCCCCCCCCGTCGACAACACTTTTGGAAAGTTTCTCCGGAAAATTTTTTTGACAACTCGGGCACAATCCGAAAAAGTCGGGCAAATTTCTTTCCGCCTCCCTAATTTTTTGCTTCCCGTACGCCCATGGCATTTAGCACAATCCCGCAAAATATCTTTTGGGGACGCCATTTTGCCAAAATTGAAGCGCTAGATGGTTGTGTTTGTACAACCGCTGTTAAAAGTTCACGGGCCTTTGATCAAATCAAAGGTGTACAATCGTCAAATCAAAGGTGTACAATCATCAAATCAAAGGTGTACAATCATCAAATCAAAGGTGTACAATCGTCAAATCAAAGGTGTACAATCATCAAATCAAAGGTGTACAATCATCAAATCAAAGGTGTACGATCGTCAAATCAAAGGTGTACGATCGTCAAATCAAAGGTGTACGATCGTCAAATCAAAGGATCATTATCATATTAAATGTACACTGTAATCATATTAAACGTGTACAGTCATCATATTAAACGTGTACAGTCATCATATTAAACGTGTACAGTCATCGTATTAAATGTGCACATGATCATCTATTAGACAAATCATCGATTTGTCCAATCTACCGCGCCATA